TTAGTTCAGATAGCAAATTCAATATATACCTTAAATTCAATATTCCTAAAACACTCTTTTTACAAAAACTTAATATCTGATTTTTCAAAAACTTACTTGATCACTTTAAACAGTGGTTCAAACAATTCTTTCTATTATATAATCACCAATTTACTAAACCTATAGATAAAACTAAGGTTTTTAATGCACTCAAATACCAATTTCGACAAAAATTTATCTTTCACTTAAAAGAAATTATATCTTCTAAACTAAACTTCACAAAACCTAACAACCTACAAGAACACCGTAATGAAGCAATTAAACACAACAATTACCATATCCTTATTTCAGTCAGGAATATTTCCAAATTTGGCACTTCCGAATATCGTAATGATCTGTACTGTACGACTAACAGAAATTTTTTAGAATAATTAGAATAAAACTAAATTTGATTGGCTATAGTATATACATATATACGTACGTCTGACGAAGAGACTAATTTTTTACCTGATCTGCATTAGTGACAATACTACCTTGTGCTATTAGGTATGAGTGCAAATAAATTTCTGTTTATACGCATATGGCTCAGAGTAGTAGAGTAAAAATGCTATTAATCAAAGCTCTTATATACAGTAGAATACTAGAATGAACGAAGGAATTGCTTGAGTAAATACAGCAACGTACACTAGCTTTTTATGATCCTACAAGCATTATAAAGAGAAAGTATAATGTTCTTTATCGGAATTTATTAAAATTCTTATGCTGTAAGAACTTGTAATTCTCTGATCTGAGATTACTGTCTTTTAAGCTCTGAAAACACTAATTTTGCTTTGATCTTTTTCTTTCGACTTTAACTCTTATCGAATAGATCTATTATAGGCTTACTTCTTATGAGTATAATGGTTTATTCGATCTTTTAAAAGCGTAATTGTTGGTAATGAGATTTATAGCATTGACAAGTATTCAAGTAAGGTAACACGCATTTTTAAATTAATTTTTAGTAAATTCGAAGCTACAATATTACATTGTTAACATAGTTTTAATAATTACAGAATTATAATTATTTATTCTCTGGCTCTATCTCATTTTCAGATTTATCTTGGTCATTGTGCAAATTTTTAATATTTTGCAAGATCTCTAACAATTGGCCGCTAGTCTTTTGCTTTAACCCACAATATTTTGGACGATCAGAAATATTGATGGAATTCAATAATGAATTAATAAGTACTAAAAGATCGTCTTTTTTCATATTTTCCTCACTCATGGCTGCTTCTTCTTTTTGTACAGTAATAGGTATTGGCTGAGGTAGGGGACTTTGCTTGTTATTTTTAAAAGCTTTGTTAATAAACATTATTCGTCTTTTACACGCTAAGCTACTAAAATTTTTTAGTTGTTTACTAAGTGAATACTCCCCTCCAAGACTTTTAAATGCACGATCATTATTTTGTGAATTCAAAAATCCCATTTTTCACAATTGAACTCAAAATTTTTGTGATTCTGAGATATAATCAGGGTGTGACCGACCTTCTGATGATTCATTATCAGTATGCCCGATTATATTAAATAACATGTGGCACAACTAATAATTATTTCAAAAATAAGTATAAATTTAATTTTTTTTTGTTTTTTTTTGGTATATTTTAGATATATTTTGCTGACCTTTATAAACTTCATACAATTCCATGCTGCTATTCTCCAATGTTTCTGTGAAGGTACAGGTGGAATTAGGGCTTTTAAAGACTTATTTACTTCTTCAAGAATAGCATCAAGTCCTTGATGCTGGTTAGAATAACCTGATCATGAAATGATGGAGTATAGCTCTATACATTGTCTAATCTCAGGATTTAACCGCATTAATTGCACCTCATAAGTTATCTCAATTGAATGGTAAATAGGATGTCTATGACCAGACCATATTGGTGCAAACATTACGTAGAGCAGCATTCACCAATAATGGCCGGTTGTTTCTAACACCTATACAAAAGTTAATGATTGCTTGAAGGTATGTAAATATCTATAATACTAATGTTGTTAGTTATGTTTTTAGATACTTATATATTCTTTTAAAATTTACCTGTTCAAATTTTAGGTTATATATGTGGTTATTTTGTATTTTCGCCCAATTTATATAACCATTAACAAAAGGATCATCAGTTGCAACTACATATGGCCATAATAATTCACAAGCCATTGCATGTTGATAAATATTGCAAATAGAGTTCCATGACTTGTGATGGTCAGCACATTTTTTAAAAAATCCAAGTTGGTTTTCAGTTCTATATCCTTGGAGAGTAGCGAATTGTCTGATGTCAATCGACCTTAAAAAATGCATTGGTAAAATTAATTTAAGTATTAATCAAAAAAGATATCTAAAATATTCACTCGAAGAAATAATATCAATTTAATTCTACAAATGACTTAAGCATGTTCATTTCTTCATGCAGGGCTCCAGGAATCAGTATAAGCTATGGAAAATCATCTTTAATCTTTTGTACTAAATTATAGAGAACACCGTCGCAAGTAACAGATAACCATTTTCTCACCCCTTTATTGATTTCAGTAATACTTTGTATACGTTCTAAAACTTTTTTGACATTATTTAGTGAATTAGGATTAACTTCCAACAGATCTGGCATATACATTTCCAGAATGACAACATCTTAATTGGGTTCAGATTTTTGTGTAATATTAATATGCTCTAAATAAGAAGCTTTTTGATTTTGAGCATATTTATAAGTCTTTATTATAGGAGTTCTTAATTGAGAAGTTATATTATCAACCTGAATTACTTCATTAGCTGATTTGGCATGTAAGGCAGCTAATGTATCCAATTTTTCATTACAGTTAGGACAAGTATGTTTTTTATTATCTATATTGGTCGTATTGCATTTTTTACACCATTTTGAATGACTTCCAACACCTTTTTGATTTTTCATAATTTGATCGATGGTATTTATTTCTTGGCTTTTTTTGGTAATAAGTTCTTCTAAAATAGAAGTTAAGTATAGATTTAATTCGTATTCATATTCTGCCTTCATCTCTGGTGTAGGATAATATAATTTTTCGTATTGTTGATTATTTAGTGAATCATAAAACCAAGGAGTAGTTGTAAATTGGGCTTGGTCATTCTTATTCATATTTAGTACAACGAAGCTCATTACCATATGATAAATGACCGTATTATATCCACGATCAAGATAATTATGCTGACCTCATTGTTCATTATCAAAGGCAAGAAATAGAAGTCCCTTAGATAAGAGTTCATGTTCAATGGCTAACGATTCTAGCCAATTAACAAATTTTGTATAACTTACCGAACTAATTATATGATTGTCGATATCAGTAATTGTTTTAGATCGTGCTAGCGAATATTTAATTCCTGACATGACAAGATTTATTTCTGATACATAGTTCTTATGCCTTGACCAATATATCGCATCAATCACAACTATTCTTTTAAAAAGTTTTTCATTTAAGGTATAACTACAGTTATTATTATCATTATGAGTAAGCATATTAATAAAGTTAACAATGACTAGGTTACGATTAGCTAACCAATTTTTGGGTACAAAATTCAATAAATTGTTAAGAGAAAACCGTTGTTTATTTAAAATTAATGATTCAATATCATTATAAACATTTTGACATTCATAATTTGCAATTTGAACTATCGAATTAATTCTTTTTTTTGATTATTATAACGATTTTCCCAACAATATTTTAATGCATTATTTTGGTCAGATAGCTTTTTATTTATTTTATTTATTTTCTGAATTCATTCCCAACTCTCTATTACATAATTATATGCATAGTCTAATTGTTTTGAAGGTTTTTTATCTCATTCATTTTTTATACTCAATTGCATCTGAAGTATATTAATATAATTTTCAAGGGTATGCGACATGTTATCAATTACTTGTATGCCAATATCATGGATATTTTTATTACTAAACTCATCAGTTTGAATGCCAATTTCGCAAGTATTTTTTTCAACTTCTATTTCATAAGCATGCTCTGTACTAGCTTGCTTTTCAACCAATTCATTTTCTAAATCAAGATTATGTACTTGTCGTTTATTTTTATAATTCGAACTTGTAAGAACTTGTCATAAGAAATCAGACACAATAAGTTGATTATAATGCTTTTCACATAAAGAAAAATCTTCTAAATGTGTTTGAATTTGAATTAATTCAGGAAAAAAACTATTGTACAAGGGAAGACAATTTTTTGCTAAATTACTATCTGCATGCCATATTGTTTGTTGCTCTTTAGTTTCACATTCTAACAACCCAGAACCATTATGCAATGAAACCGAAGAGGCCAAGGCACAAGGTAGTTTGTATGCTGGTCATCGTTTACATTGTTGATGTTGACTAGATCCTGCTAATAAAAAAATTTAAATTAGAATTAGTGTATTATGATGAAAAGTCAAATAAATCTATTATATATTGTACCTGTCTGGCTCATATTTTTTATATTGTGATCTTGGTTTTATTAGAGTTTCTTATAACAGTACCCTAATTAAAAAACAGTATAATGACTATTGATATAAAATATCAAAATGATTATTGTAATGATAAAAAAGCATGGAACTAGTAATGATGTAAAAAAATTAGATGATTTTAAAGAACAAATTTACAGGTTGTACTTCTAAAAATTAAAAAAAATTTTTAACAAAAAAAAACCTCAGATCTTACTAGTGCAGATGTTATAATAATAAGAAATTGTGGGGCTGGTAGTAGCGATGTAAAGCTTGGTAATTATTCACTTTTCTGGGAATAAAGTAATTGTGTTTTAAGGTTTCAATTATTATTTTAAATTTAGCATGTGAAAGTGTCAGAAATCAGGTGAAGAGGTATATTACACTAAACTTATAATTGATCTAAATACAGAAATATAGAAGTTCCCTCACCATATTTCTAAGACAGTGCTAATCCATGTTTAATACATTTTGTTATTCCAGTATTTAATTAAAAAAAAGAAATAAATATTAGAATATCAAACAAAAAATAAGACAAACTTGATAAAAAAAAAAAAAAAAACATAAGGCATATATGTTACCTCTTGATTTGAGATTCTTCCCTTCTGATCAAAGATTGTTCACAAAAAAGTCAGCGTAGGTTTTTTCAAAATGCATCGGTTAATGCATTTTCTTCTTATAATTCTAATTCAAAGAAGCTAGCATGATGTTTTTGCAAAGTGCTATTTGCTTCTAGTTTGAGTTTATTCTGATCAAGATTTAAAGAAACCCAGGATGTTTTACAAAGTGCGTCTACTAATATACTTCCATCCGATCCAAGATCATTCTATGATTCAAGGAAGTTGGCGTGATATTTTTGCAAGGTGCCTTTGTTACCTCGCTTACTTTTTCTGATCCTAACAAAACTGGTGGCTATTCTTGGGCATTCTTTCTTGTTTTAATACTTTGAGAAATTCGCCTGGTAAAATATTAGTGCACTTATTCTATAAAATTATTGCCTTTATAATGTTTAAAAGTGTAGAAATTCAAGTAACCAAGAAGTATAAGCTTTGAAATTACCTTTTTTTCAGGTCTCATTTATTTCATTAAACAAGACTGATTATAATTGATTTTCTATTGATTACGAACCTTTGAAACTTCTACTTTTTACATATATAATTATTGGTTATCAATGGATATCATAAAAGGCTCAACATTTCATATTAAAAAAGTATGACTATGAGCCAATAAAAATACGAGAAATTTTATAGACGATTCTAGAATCGATCATCATTATTCCAAAATGTTATCCATTACACAAACCAAATTTGGAGATATCTCGGACTGTATTTGTACAGATGAAGGCTGCATCTATATAGATAAAGCTGAACATACAAAAAAAAAAAAAGAAGTCAAAACTAATAACTTTGAGAAACAACCCCAATATTATGAACATTCCTCTCAACTTCTTAACAGCATCTTTCAAAAATCCTATATTAATTTTCCTAAACAAAAGAATGAAATTTGGCAAAAGCCCAAACTTGACCCTTCTTTATTCTATAAAAATAGCAAATATGAAGCATTTTTTAACAAACAAACTTCAACAACTTTACTTGACAAACTTGCAACTGAGGCAAAAGATTCTGCTTGCAAAGCTAATAATGTCCAAACCAACTCTAAATGCCACAATTATTACTTCTATTTATACTTAAACCTTTACCAAAACATTGCAGCTTAAAATTATAATATAGATAAGTTAAACAAATAGATATTCTTACAACAAAATCTATTAGTACTAAATTTCTTGCAAGAATCTTGACCTTCTATCATTCTTGTAATAAAACACTTACTTATTTTCAAATTGCAAACTATTTTCGAGAAACAGCCTATTCTGAAGCTAACAAAATTATACAAGAAAATTTTCAAATGAAATATGAAACACCATCCTTGATTACAGAGTCTCTCTTTATTGAAGAGTCTCTTTTTCAATAAATTCGTCTTCTACAACCTTCATAAATGCAACCACCACCTTATTAAAAGATACATCTCTAGTAATTGGTAAGAAAAATGATGTAAGTGGGCAGATGGTAAAGCCTATTTACATGGAAGGCCAGGATTATAACAGTCAAACCCAATGTACAGAGCAAACTATGGTATCTTGTACAGCTATGAGAGCCAAGCATACAGTGATCGATCCTGTAGAAGACAACTCTAAAAGATCATTTTCAATATCTTTAGCCTCCTATGATCTTGACATATGTTTTAACAAATTCCTTCTTTACTATAACAACCTTTTCTCTCTTACAACCAAACCATCCAAACACTTATACAGCATATTGATAAACACAATCACAACCAAAAAAGTTACTAGTATTACATTCTCTGTTAATTCAATTTACAGTGAAACTCATATATACTTTCTAATGACTTACTTCTTCCTAATCATATT